AGTAGAGCTCCTTGTGAAAGAGTTCGTCCATGGAAATACTGCCACCTTTCCTATTTCTGCCGCCAAGCAGTAGTGTGAGCATTACTCCGTGAAATTACAGGCATATGGGACTTGTCAACTTGTGTCTCAGGATGACGGGCGCAGTGGCATTGTCCTTTGAGCTGCACTGCAACTGTTATGGACATGCGTGTCGCTATCTATCAGGCCCACGACTTGTTCGTCTCATCACTTGATATCTTAAAAAATCTACTTACCTCCACTGTGAATCATCCTGCATTTCATTGTCAACTTATGTCTCAGATCTGTGTGATTTAGAGCACAGAGCTCAGTAGCAGTAGATCTCCTTGTTATAGAGTTCATCCAGGGAAGTACTGCTTCCTTAACTATTTCTGCCTCCACGCATATTACTGCGTTCCGGTTTGGAAGGTGAAATAACAGGCACATGGGACTTGTCAACTTATGACTCAGGGTGACGGGCGCAGTGGCAGTGCCCCTAAAATCTTTACGATTTAAAGCTCTGAGTGGCACTGCAACTGTTATGGACAGGCGTGTCGCTTACCACCAGGCGTACGACTTGTTCGTCTCCTCACTTGGTATTATAAAAAAAACATACTTCGGTTGATAATATTTAAATTGATGTTTTAGAAGATAAAATTTGAACGGTCATATAAATCAAAAAACATGACCAAAAAACATAACCTATATAAAATATGCAAAAAAAAAACATATTTAAAGTTTTTTATGAAAGCGTTCTCCTGTTATCACGGACGGATCGTACGAGCTTGAAATGAAGCGAAGTCGTAAAACTCGTAAGGAATAAGTTGTCGAATGTTCGGAAGTATATTTAAATGAAGAGCAAAAGCAATTTGTGCGGGAAGTAATAAAAAATCCGATGCCGTCTTCAGGAGTTGAGAAATATTCAGTAAGTTCTGTTGCTATAAATATGTGAAGAACAATTATTTCCTCGTAAAAATAAGAATTTGCAATCACTTTCACTATTTTTCTAGGTAATATATTTAAAATAAAATATATGTACAATCATAGATCTCAGAGGCCCAACGGTTAATACTACCAAATGAGTAAAGAAACGGAACAGAGACACATCTTCTAAAGAGCGTGCAAAATTTATACCAATTTTGGTAGGGTTGGCACAGGAGAATAAATTTTTTTTTTAAACTTTATGGTATGATAGTATATCTTATTATGAAAGGCTTATTGTAAACATGTTTTTTTAATTATTTTTCTGTTTCAGTTCTGTTTTTAGAAAACTTGCTAAAGCATTTTTCGAAGTGATCCTCACAGATTCTGTAATTTGACCTCGTTTTATCATCAACAAGTTTTAAATGCAGACCTTCTCGCCTTACTGCTTTTAACCACTCCGTGCAAGTGAACGTAATATTATTGTGGCGATGTCTAGTTTAATATTGATTTTATAATGATATTAATATAATTGAAATAGTTTTAGCAACGACGCCTTTTCTGCAGTTGCAGTTGTAATTTATAATGATAATAATAAAATAATAGTTATTTTAAATTTTTATTGAATTTATATCGAATTATATTTTGTGAAATTACTCCACTAGTTTGTTGTAATTATTAATACAAAGATCGAACACTCAGAAAAAATTCCTTCAATCCGACCGGATTCGAACCGACGTCTTCTAGCTTACCGTGCTATACCAACTAAGCCACGGAACGAACCAGCAGCGGACCTCGCAAATTTTTCATGTGCTTGCGTCGTGTCTTTGTATTTGGTTTTTCAACGACTTTTTAGTCGTAGCGCCATCTATGAGAAATCTATGAAAGATTTATCACCCAGTTAGTACCTGTACAGCTACCAGTCCTGGCGAGAGATGTCGCTATCCGCTACATTTTAAATTTTTATTGAATTGTTATTCAATTCTTTTTTGTGAAATTACTCCACTAGTTTGTTATAATTATTAATACAAAGATCGAACACTCAGAAAAAATTCCAACGATCCGGCCGGATTCGAACCGACGTCTTCTAGCTTACCGTGCCAGATGCTATACCAACTAAGTCACGGAACGAACCAGCGGACCTCACAAATTTTTCTATGTGCTTGCGTCGTGTCTTTAGGATATGTGTTTCAGACTTTTTATATCGTATTTCGTTTCCGAAATATAAAATCGAACACTTGCCAATCTGATATCCACAGCGAAGAACAACGAACGAAATGTTCAATGTCCTGAGAATAAGCAGTCTTGCACATAGATCTTTGTTCTACGGATGAGTCCGTTTATGAACAAAGTATTTGGGGTTTATGACAATACTTATAGAAATAAATAAAAATTTACTGTGGTTGTGACAAAGACAGCGTATAAGACAGCTTTACACTCCATCTATTAAAAAAGTTAGGACCGCTATTTTTGGCCTCATCTCGTCACCGAACGACGATGTGACAATTTGTGAAGAAATTCAAAGAAAAGTGGCAATTTCGTGCATATTTCAGCGGTGCGTTGGCCTCCAGGGCGTATAAACACAAAAATTATGTTTTATAAAACAGATTTATGACTTCTTTTTATAGAATTTATGTAGTGAAATTGTGATTTCGTATCACAGAGATGTATAAATAGTTACTGCTGCTAACGCTTCTGTATTACTGTTGATAAAAACTAAATTAAGTTCGTGATATTAGACTCAAAATAGACGTTATGACATGTTTATTTCGACTTTTAAAAATACGAATTCATCTTTTTTTTTTCAATTGATAATTAAAACAAAAGATATTGTATAATATTTTATCCAAAAAAATTATATACTATCTGGGAAACTCAAGGATCGGCAGCTACTTCGTCCAACGCCTACAAATAGCCATACAAATAGGGAATGATGTCAGCACCTTGGGCACCTTGCCACGGAGACCCAATTTTATTCATATTATTCAATCCTAGTTTTAGTTTCTAGTATTTAAGCTTTTGCTGTACCTTAAATTTCTATTTATTGACTAATAAAAACTATTACCGGCTCTGAGGCATGGAACGAACCAGCGGACCTTTCGAATTTGTCGATTTGGTTGTTACAGATCTTTATTTTTGGTTTTATCGACTTTCTTGCCGTAGCACCATGATGTAGAATTCTGATGATTCTATTATGTTCTACTCCTTATGATATTGCTGTAGGGTTGTTAAAATCATAACTGTTATTTACCGCTTTATCGCATTTGTCTATAAGTAACCAAAGTAATTGTTGGCTCCAAAGATTTCACAAATAACGTCACCCCGTAAACCTGTATGTAGACCGTGGCGAATTTATATCAGTAATTATGATCAATTTAAATTCATAATAAACCTAGATGCTATGGAACCTAATGATCTTACAAACGCTTAAAGCTATGTAGTGTTTGTAGTTATTTGATACCCACGTAAATACAGACGCTATGCAAAGTTACCATATCGCACCTCCGGTGGAACAGTGGGTTCCTTAACTTACATTTGTGAAATTTACGGAAAATGAATTAAACGTCTTGTATTTCGGGCTACTGAGAACATTAGAAGAGCTCTTAAATGTTATTATACTATTTTAATGCATCTACACTCTATAGAAAAAAATAAGGAATGCATAATCCGTCTCTGTTTTTAACCGATTAAAAAAAATAGGAGGTTCTCAATTCGGCTGCATATTTTTTTGTATGTAAGTTACGTGATAACTCTTTTTGTGATTTGTGAACCGATTTTGATCATTCTTTTTTTGTTGGAAGGAGTGTACCTCAGTAGTGGTCCCATTTCAATATGAAGAAAATGTTCCGCCTCTAAGGGTGGTAAACTAGGGGATGAATGACTTTTGAGGTCGGTTTTTTTAGGACTCTGTACTGAGATTATTCCGTATAAATTGCATTTTAAAAATAGTTTGGGATAACAATTTTTTGCAGGTTAGTCTGTGTTTTACCGAAAGTGCGATATGTCAAAATGATTTTATCATATACGAAAGTCATAAAAATAATACAAACTACATGAAACACATAACGTATAATACGTATAATATACGAAATTCGTTCGTAGAATTTCTAAACATCTCTCTTGAAAAGTTGTCATTTTGCATAATGTGACCGTATTACTCCAAGGTTGCGAACTTTCGATTAGCAAGTTATGACTAAGTACATAACAGAGTTATTGGCGCAGTTCTTTGTTACGTGTGTCATAATCTTTTCAGGTTACACACATAAACCAACGAATAGAAATAGACATAATTGACATGAGTTATATTCATCACTACATTGTGCGAGGAATTCTAAATCAAATGACGAAAAAAATAATTACCTTTTACGCTCAGCTCAAATGGATTATAGTTTGCCAAGCCGCATCAAAAATACTGTGCCAATGTGAAAATTTATAAAAAAAAAAACAATGTCAAGTTTATGTGCGTCTGTAATGTTATTGGAAGAAAATGAAACAAAATATATGTTACCAATCAAAAGCAATCGACATGAACCGAAGGGGAGGTATGTTAATGGAGACATCCTGTGAGTAAGTAGTTTTTAATATTTTCGGGAAGTATCGGACAAAAATAGACACATTACACGGGGACAGGGGCGAAAGATTTTGTCTTAAAAAACATCGCTCCCTCACGTTTTTATGGACTGTCGCTTATTTTTAAGAAAGTGCGTAAAAAAAGAACAATTTTTTCACAACAATCTTAATATGACTTTTTAATAATTAGGATTGTGGCAGATCATTTCGTGTCGATAAGAAAGTACAATAATCGACACACTCTGCCACAATGTTTCAGATAAGTAGATATAATAAAGATTAGATTAAGTCACCAATTTTAGACACGCACTGTTTTAATATATAAGCTTAATGTGTCAATGAATAAAACCAGTCATTCAATAGCTACGACTCACGCATTTTATTTATTACCATACCAATGGTAAAGTGGTGACCCCGACAGGAACGACAAGAGCCAACGAACCTATAAACGGTCAATTGTGCATATGTCACAAGTTTCCAGTCAGTAAGGCAATACATAATAATTCATCACAATGGCAAACAACGGACGGTCAAGCAAATCAACAGGAGAAACTTCAGACACTCTCGAGATAGCCACAACTTCCGTCGTCTCTCGGATTCCAGAGTTTTGGAGAGATCAACCTCGACTATGGTTCCTACAGTTCGAAGCCGTGGTAAACGCTCAGAAGCAAGGAGACGACTACAAATTCAACATGGTAATGGCCAGATTACAGAAGGAAGAGGTTAAACAAATTGGCGATATACTTGCAGCACCTCCAGAAGATGGGAAATACATAGCCCTTAAAAACAGATTAATTGACTGTTATGAGGAGTCAGAAAAAACCAAACTTCAGAAACTAATATCAAATACGGATCTCGGAGATCAAAAGCCATCACAGCTTTGGCGAAGGATGAAAGAGCTGGCAAATGGAAACATTAAAGACAACATGTTAAAGCTCATGTGGTTACGACAATTACCACACTCTGTTACGTCCGTGTTAGCTGCCACCGAAGAATTGAGTATAGAAAAAAATACCCAAATAGCCGACAGAATTCACGAGAATATTAACGATGCGGAAGTGTCCTCTATAAATAAACAAGAGGCCACGGTCAATGACTGCACTGAAAAACGCATCGCAAGCATCGCGTCGCAAATAGAAAATATGCAGATAAACATTGAGGCACTAACAAATAAGCAAAACAGCAATCGTTGGCATAATACGCAACGGAATGTGCATACATCGCGTTTCAGACCTAGGTCAGGTTCACGCGAACATTATAGACGTAATAATGGTTTATGTTTATATCATAAAAAATTTGGTCGACAGGCATACAAATGTACGGCACCCTGTTCATGGAACCAGGGAAACTAATATCAGCACAGAACACGGCGGAACTTTGTGCTATTCACCCATCAAACCGCCTGACTATTACCGATCGGAAAAATGAGATTCGATTTTTAATAGACACAGGAGCAACTATTTCAGTTATTAATCGACGTTCAGCGAGTCAAACAATCAACACTGTTTATAAATTATACGCAGCAAATGGTTCAAAAATTAAGACCTACGGGGAGAAGACTCTAACAATAGATATCGGGTTGCGACGACCTTTCACATGGAGTTTCGTGATTGCAGACGTCAAACAAGCCATATTGGGAGCAGATTTTTTAGAATATCACAAAATATTAGTTGATATGCATGGACGCAAATTAATAGACAAATTCACAGAACTGTCAACATCTGCAACCTTTGTAAAAACAAAGCAACAAACGCTTCGAACAATAGATTACGCCATGGAACCACGCATTAAGAACATATTAGAGAAATATGTAAACATAACTCGACCCTCGTCGCTTAAAACTCATCCGAAGCACAGAGTGGAGCATCACATATCAACCACTGGACCACCGACTGCATCGAGAGCAAGTATAAACAATTTACACCATCATTATCATCATTCCAGAGCAGAGCAGATGCGTCAAGATATTTTTATTTTTTAAAGGGGGGAATACTGTGGCAGATCATTTCGTGTCGATAAGAAAGTACAATAATCGACACACTCTGCCACAATGTTTCAGATAAGTAGATATAATAAAGATTAGATTAAGTCACCAATTTTAGACACGCACTGTTTTAATATATAAGCTTAATGTGTCAATGAATAAAACCAGTCATTTAATAGCTACGACTCACGCATTTTATTTATTACCATACCAATGGTAAAAGGATCTTGATATTTCCCCAAATACATCACGTTTATTAAGATCTTAGTGGGCATGTAGGACGACAAAATTAACAAGAAAAGATACTAGTATTTAGACAGGCAAGTTAAAAATTGGTTGTCGCATGATCACATTAAATTGTAATTAATCACTATAACAGTAATCTATTCTAGTAATAATAGTCACAGGTACTTAAATTAATATAAATTCTTTTATATAATTATTAATGAAAAAATCCATAACACTATCTCTCAACACTTTGTATAATTTTTTTTATTATCTGTTCCGGGACGCATACGTCCGTCACTCTCACTCACTCGGCTAGGGCCCATTGAAAACCAGCGTCACAACCTAGCCTTGGTTGTGACTTTAGCTGAATGGGATCCTTTTGTACACGCCACAGCCGCACACATGTCAGTATAGTATTATGCAACTTGTTGTTGAAATGTTTTTACGCTGTTCTTTGTGTTTTTTTTTCTTTTATAATGTGGCGTTACAATAAATGGTTTCTATTTCTATTTCTATTTCTAATTTCGTCCTAAATAATTTAATGGTCAAGGTTTTAATGTCATTTGGTACTCCATTGTGATTTTTAACACATACATAAACGTTTTGATTATATTTCTCCATCTTTACTAACTTCAAAAAAGAGTAGCCTGTTAGCATTTCTGGAATTTTGACGGTTGATGTAAATAGTTTTAGAAACAAATGGAAATTGTTTTTACACAAATACTGCCTTCATAAATATATCTATAAGGCATACAGGGGTAACAAACCAAGATCTCGAATGTAAGTTTACGGGAGTCGAGAGGTGTCCTATCGGTCATTGCACCCATATATTTTTAGCGTGCTAATAATACTCTGTTTACAAACCTACACTCTATTTTTGTCTAGTCAAACGAACATAAAATTTTTTCAAGATATTCATTTTTCGGTATAAAATTTTCCATTGTCTCGACAGCACAAAACTGTTCATCATCACCATCCACAGCCCAACTTCACCCACTGCTGGATCCTGTGCTAATCTCACCCATCTTTCAGGTTAAAACCCCTTGTAGTTATGACAAAACTGTTAGTACTGTCAATTTCTATACAACATGTGTCTCCACAAATAAATGAGTTATCCCAGTACGACAAAGGCGTTCAGCTTTAAATCTGTCTACATTACAAAGTGAATTCTTCCCCTGCAGTTTTATTCAGGTCTATGTCGTTATTTTACCGGTCTAACCGCACGTTGTCGTAGATAAAAGCGGCTTAGAACTTTAAAGCCGTAAATTTCAATAGCAAGCAAAAGCCACAAAATTACAACGGACTAGTTTGGCCTTACAGTGCCGTAAGTTAGACCTGTTCTGGCCAAACCAATATGCCTAGTCGCTACCTATTTGCATATTGATTTTCTGTACACAACAGAGTATAAATTGAAGTGAAGTTTGTTTAGTTTTAACATTTTGCCAAGATTTAAGGAATTATTGAGTAGAACTTGCTGCAGTTAAGGTACTTGTGGTTTAGAAATTTTGTTTGAAAAGAATAATTATATATACATTGATTTCTTTTATGATAGCAAGTAATGCAACGAACAAGTCGTGTGGTTTGTGTTAAACAACTGTCCATAGCAGTTGCAGAGCCTCTCAGAGCTTTAAACCGCAAACATCTGAGGGATACTGCCAATGCGCCTGACATTCTGAGTGGCACTTAGCCAGAAAGGACAGCTCGTAGGAACTAGTGGAATAGGCCACTTACATTTTAACTAAGAGGTGAGCTTACTTATTTTTGAAACGCATTTAAATCCTTAAAAGTGTTATCCTTTTTTTAGTCTGCTATTGTGGTCTTTGTAAAAAATATACAGCTGTTTGAAAGAAAATACATAAATTTGTTACAATTATTAATAAAAAAATTCCTTCGACCCGCCTGGATGTTAACTAAGCAACGGAACGAAACAACGGACCTTACGAATTTTCTGTGTGCTTATTGCAGATTTTTGTTTTTGCAAAAAAAAAATAAACCAAAAACAATCTGCAACAATATATAGATAATTGTCTACTATTTTCAAATAGAATGTTACTAAAATTCACTTGACGTTCAATCGTGTATTTTGAATGAATATGCTGTTTAATATTTAATATACGGCACAATATATTGCTATGAAAATTCAAGTTTTTTGACGATTTTTTCAGATTTATTCACTGGAAAAGGCCTTTTAAAATATGCAATTTCACTTCATTATAGTTTAATTTCATTGACGTAGCGTTTGTATGCTTTAAAGCACGAGGTCACGATAACACAATTACCTTTTAATTTATATACGCGAGGAGTTATCACGCAACGTTGGTCGTTTACACGCACCTTTATCAAATGAAGCGAGGCTATACGGTTTTTACTAATTATTAAGATAAATATTACTTCGAATACATGTTGTTTTTAGAACAATGCCTCGTTAACGGGGTTATTAATATAATGTAAAGGTGTGTTTGTACGTTGACAGTTTTACACTTTGTGTTTTTTGTGGTTTGTTTTAGATAGTGTAATTGGACCTATAGAGATAAAGCAGTTCAGAACGTTGTTAGAATGGATTTGGAGTTGTAGTTAAAAAAGAATTTTAAGCCAGTGTTACTAGAGTTAATAACTGTTTTTTTATAATATCAAGTGACGGGATGAACAAGTCGTGCGCCTGATAATAAGCTACACGCCTGTACATAACAGTTGCAGTGCCACCCAGAGCTTAAAATCGTAAAGATCTGAGGCACATTGCCATTGCGCTCGTCACCCTGAGGCATAAGTTGATAAGTCTCATGTGCCTGTAGTTTCACCAGCACCCTTACCCATTAAAACCGGAACAATGTAATGCTGACATTGCTGCTTGGCGGCAGAAATAGGTAAGGTGGCAATACTGCCCTGGATAGTAATACTCTTTCACGAGGAGCTCTGCTACTAACTGAAATTATTACAAAAAACCCACCTCCTAAGTTTGTGGAATTACATCTATTTGCGAAGTTTAGTTGAAATTGGTTAACGGAAAGTGGGAGACCGAATAAACGGGATTCATCCACTAATTTGCCCACCTTAGATATGGAATATTTTCTTCAAATTGAAATGGTACTACTGTTTATGTACCCCCTTTCCAACAATAAAAGAATCATCTCGAAATCGACTTACAAATCGTCGTCTTAGAGTGAATACTTCGTATGTAATTTTTCAGGACGAAGATAAAAATGTTGTGTAAAATGTAGTAAACGCAATAATGTTTGTAGTTAGCATTTTAATTAGTTAAATTTATACCTCATTCCGATACTATGTTACTTTAATAACATATTTGAGCAAGAAGGTTATAAGTTTTTCTTCAACAAAAGTCAGTAAACACGAACTATGTAAAAACGCGTATGTAACATATACACAAAAGTACAGTAGAATTGAAACGTACTCCCTTTTTGAATTCGGTTAGATACAAATATTATTTGTATTATAATTAATTTTATTTATTGCTTCACTCACAGTTACCAAAACATTACGTACAATAAGTTAAACGTGTTGAGGGTCTTATCTAATTGCACAATTAATTATGAGTAAACATTAATTGCAACAACAACGTAAATATAGATAAATATAAACGTAAAAACAATAAGTAAATGTAAAAATTGAGTACAAACAGAACCAATAAAGACACGATAACAAGTTTTAGTAGCACCGTAGCAGTACCTTGCCTATTTCTGTCGCCAAGCAGTAATGTGAGCATTACTGCGTTCCGATTTTGAACGGAAAGGGTGCTGGTGAAATTACAGGCACATGGAACTTGTAAAGTTACGTCTCAGGGCGCATTAAGTCGACATGAATTTCATCGCGCTCACCCCGCGCGGCCACCGCGCGGTCGAAGAGCGGAGTCCGCGTTTCCGCCGCGCAGCGACCGCGCGCGTCTAACTGTCATGGCAAAATACGTTTTAATTTAAATGAGCGTTCCGGGCACGCGGGCACCGTACACGCGGCGTCCGCGCGGTTATTTTATTGAGTGGAATTTAAATGTTGTTGCATAATAAATAGAATTCAGATTCGCCATTAATGTACATGAAGGCGTGGTAATAAAAACTTGTTTTCCGGGCGGTCGCCGCGCGGCGGCCGCGAGAAAACTTTCTCCTCGTGTATCTGGGCGCTCAGGGTGACTTTTGTGATTTAAAGCTTTAGATACAAATTAAAAAATTATAATTTAGTACGTAAGGAAAACTTCGATAGTTTG